CCAGAGGGTCGGGGCATTTCCTTTAATTATGGGTTTTTCGGATGTGGAATTGGTATCATGTTCTTTTCCAGTGGTGAAAAATGAGTCAGGGTACATGCCTGTGTGCCTGCATGCCTGCATGCATGTGTGCGTACATTTGCGTGTGTGTGCATGTGTGTGTGCATGTGTGTGTGTGCATGTGTGTGTGTGCATGTGTGTGTGCATGTGTGTGTGATCCAGCTCAGGGAGTTGTGCATACGAGGCTAGCACTGTACCAGTGAACTGTCTCCCAAACATATACTTGTTCTTCTGATGCCCCAATTATCTCAAACCTGGAATCGGATATTTCTGCAAGAGCTGTGATTCCTTTAATGTGGGTTGAAAACAAAGACTGGATGCAGTTATGTTTGCTGTTGTGTGGGGGGAGGGGAAGTAGTGCTTCTTCCTGTCGGTTGTTAGTAAGTTGGAAATAAACTTTTTTTTAAAAAAAAAATTATAAATTCATAATGACATTTTCTTTTCTTTCTTTCTTTCTTTTTTTAATGGTGTTGAAATTGAACCCAGGGCCTCGAGAGTGCTAGGCAAGCACTCTACCACTGAGCTGTTTCCCCAGCCCTGTCATTAAGCTGCTAGTAATTTTTATATTATAGGCTTTTGTTAACATCTTATGGCTCTTATGTTTTCTGACAGTGAAAATCTTGGCTCCCTGTTAGGAACATTAATATAATTACTTATCTACATTACTCTCTCATACACATCCAGTACTGATACTTCCACCAATAACACAGCTGCTGTGTAAAGTTTAAGATTTCCTTACAATATACCAATATACTTTTTGGTTGTTGTTCTTAGATTGTTTTTTTTTTTCTTTTTTCTTTTTTCTTTTTTTGGGTGTAGCCTGAACGCCACGCCACGTGCTAATGTCACCTGAAGTGATTCTTCCCTCTGGGCGTTCTTCTTTGAGCTCTGTTGCACAGTGAGACTCATTTGTTTCTGTTTTGTGTCTTCTAACAGGGTCTGCTTGGTTCTCTTTTGGAGTTTAACTTTGCATTTTGCCCAGATCTGACATTTACATGGTATCAAAACCAATCCATGGAACAGCATATCCCCAAGGGTCTTGTTCCCAGCCCTCTTCCACAGGCCATTTCTCCTGCCCCTTTGTGAGAAACCTTGCTTATTTTATTTTTAAGACTAGCTGTTGACTTACATTTTGTGTCAGTTACAGAAGCAATATGAGCAAGGGAGAATTTCTTTTTGTCTCACAGTTTGAGGGTACAATCCATCATGGCAGTCAGGCATGGTGTGTAGGTGGAAATTCCTGTCATGCAGGCTTCTCTCAAAAACAAAACAACAACAACAACAAAAAAAACACACACACACACACAGAAGCTTAATATTAATTATAAATGCTCAGCTAGTAGTTCAGGCTGGTTACTAGCTAACTCTTGCATTTTCAGCTAACTCCTTTTTTTTTAATCTATGCTTTGCCACGTGGCTTGGTACCTTTCCTCGGTATGGCATGCCCATCTCGTTTCTCTGTGCATCTCTTTGCCACTCTCCTGACTCTGCCCTTCTTTCCCCCAGCATTCTCTTAGTCTGGTTCGCCGGCCTAACTTTATTCTGCCTACCTATAAGCCAGTCAGCTTCTTTACTAAACCAGTTGCAGTGACATATATTCCCACAGTGTAAAGGAGTATTCCACAATGGTGGAAGGAACATGAAGCGGCTACTCATGTTGTCTTCACAGGTAGGAAGCGAAGCAAGATGAATTCTGTCATGGACCCCAGTCCACGGGATGGTACTGCCCACAGTCAGGCTGTTTCTTCACTGTTTAGCTAAAACATCCCTGGAGATGCCCCCCCCCACACACACACTGACATATACACACATACACACATATACACACATACACATACACGCATGCACGCGTGCACACAAACACACACATACAGACACACAGACATATACACACATACACACATATACACACATACACATACACGCATGCACGCGTGCACGCAAACACACACACAGACACACTGACATATACACACATACACACACATATACACACATACACATACACGCATGCATGCGTGCACGCAAACACACACACAGACACACTGACATATACACACATACACACATGCACACACAGACACACACACACATTGACATATACACACACACACAGATGTGTCTCCTAAGTGGTTATGAATGCTACCAAGTTGGCAATCAAGGCTTAACCACCAGCGCTTCTAGTGTCTAACTGTCCCTCCACTGGAATGCCTGTCCTTGTGATTTTCAAAGTGTCCCTAACAGCTCTATCATTTCCATTCCAGTCTGGGTCCTGCCCACTCCATGGAATCTTTCAGTAAACTTGGGTCCTCATCAAGTCCGTTCTCCCCATCAGTTCTGAACCCAGTCTGTATCCCATTGTCTCTGCCATGGGTTTGGGGTCTTATTTGTCTGTTCTTGTCCACTGTTGTTCTTTAAGCCACTCCACCCTTGTTTTCTTTATATTATTTTCCTCTTTAGGTTTATGGGTGTGTATGAGTATTTTGCCTGCATGCATGTATATGCACCAGGTGTGTGCACGTGCATTGGATCTTCTGGATCTGGAGTAACAGAGGGTCGTGAACCATCGTGTGGGTGCTGAGAACCAAACTCTAGTCCCCTGCAAGAATAACAGGTGTTTTTAACTGCTGACTCATCTCTCCAGCCCCTAGTCTTATCTTCTAACCACGATGAATGTTCCTTAAGGGTAGGGGCATGCCTAGAATTTTTTTAAATCTTATTATATTTTATTCACATGGGGAGTGAATACATGCATACAATGGCACAAGGGTGGCGGTCACAGGACAGTTAACTTGTAGGAGTTGGTGCTCATTTTTCCATCATGTAGGTCCTAGGAATCGAACTTAGATTTTTGGTTTGGCAGCAAGCACCTTTATCCACTGAGCCATTTCACTGGCCCCATGCCTAGAATTATTTTTTTCTCCTTTTTGTGGTTTTCTATACAGGGTTTCTCTGTATAGAGAGTGTAACGGCTCTGGATGTCCTGGAACTTGCTTTGTAGAGCAGGCTGGCCTTGAACTCTCAGAGCTCTACCTGCCCCTGCCTCCTAAGTATTGGGATTAAACGTGTGTACCATCACTGCCCAGCCCATGCCTATAATTTTTAAAGAACATGTTTATATTACATTGTATTTATCTTGTATACATATTTGGGGTTGGTGTTACATGCCTGCCATACCACACGTAGAGGTCAGAGGACAACTTGTAGGAATTAATTCTGTTTTCCACCATGGAGTCCCAGGAATTGAACTCATCCGCCTCAGTGGCATGCACCTTTACCCTCTGAGCCATCTTGCCTGCCCTAGAATTCTTTTACATTCCCTCTATAAAGTAGGCAAGAGCACACAATCACATGTTCTCACTGTGATGGTTACATTTTGCATGGTCGCAGCAAACAGCAGATACTGCAACCTTATTCTGACTGGAAATACATTCTTGTGAGCCCCTGCCTGGATGCAACATTTTTATTAGTACATCAGTTCATAACCTTGTTTTATGTGTGATTCTGCTTAAAGACACTGTGTTTGTTTAATACGTACTTCTGAGTCATTAGCACTGAGCTCCGCCAACTGCACTGTAACTCATCCCTGAAAAGCTCCGGGAACTTGCATATCTCTCTAAGGCACATTGAAGCTATCCTGTGCATGTGAACGATAGACAGCACTTAGCACTTCACCCTGCGTGGGGGGGGGGTTGCCCACAGTGAAATCACCCACAACAATATGAAAAGTAAAAGCCATGAAACTCAACAGAGAGGTCAGAGGATACTTATTAATAGTCTCAGAGCTGAAACAGGATGGCAGAGTAATTTTGTCTGACCTCAACAAGGAATGTGTGCATTGGAGCAGGTTCCTCTCTCTCTCTCTCTCTCTCTTCCTCTCTTCCTCTCTCTCTCTCTCTCTCTCTCTCTCTCTCTCTGTGTGTTGTTTGCATGTGTATGTGTTCATATGTGTGCATGTGGTGGCCATAAATTGATGTCAGGTGTCTTTCTGGATTGCTCTCCACCTTACAAAAGTTGTTTTTATGTGTGTGTGTAGTTGTGCCATGGTGTGTATGTGGCAGTCAGGACAGTTTTGGGGACTCCGGTCTCTCCTGCCCCCAGTGTGGGTCTTGAGGATGGAGCTTAGATTATCAGGCTTGGTGGCAAGCACCTTTACCTGCTGGGCAATCAATCCAGTCCCAATTTATTTTTTTGAAACAGGGTCTCTCCCCAAACCTGGAGCTCGATTCTTCAGAGAGGCTAGAAGGCTGGCCATGGAGCTCGGGGAATCCCCCTGTCTCCATTTTCCTCACACTAGATGCGTGTTGTTGTGCTAGCTTTTTACACGGGTGCTGGGAACTTGAGCTCAGGTTTACACATCATGCTCGTTACTGGTTAGCTGTCTCCCCAGCCCTGGAGCTCATATTTTTAAAAAGTTTATTCCTTTCTTTGACTTTTAAAAAATTTTTTTACTTTTATGCATGTGTATCTGTGTGGGAGTATTTGCACATGAGGGCAGGTGCCCACAGAAACCAGGAGAGGTGTTGGATGTCCTCGGGCAGGAGTTACAGACTGCCCAACATGGGTGCTGGGAGCTGAGCTCTGGTCCTTTGCAAGAGCAGTCTGTACTTTTAATCGCTGAATCATCTCTCCTGCATGTCTGTTTCATCCATGGGTAATTCTAAACTGGCTCAGATAATGAATTTGAGGTTCAAAAACTCCTTGAAGTGAGTGACTTTGACATATGGAGTCTGTAAATAAAGAGGACTGGCCCTGTCAATCCGAGTTAACTGGGACTCGAGTCCTTCCTGGCCTCATTTTCCTTGCACACCTTCGGGTGTTTTTTTGTTTTTTTTTTTACAGTTTTATCAGGGCTGTCGTTCCAGTCCCCAAGTGAGCCAGCTCCCCATCCGTTTGGCTGCCTGTCGCTGGCCCAGCCCTGAGCTGCTTGCCTTCCTTTGCAGATTTGTGGACTTCCATGCGGCCGCATCCACCTGCTCTCCTTCCCGAGCTGCTCTGCTTACTGGCCGGCTGGGCCTACGCAATGGAGTCACGCACAACTTTGCCGTCACCTCTGTAGGGGGACTTCCGCTCAACGAGACCACCTTGGCCGAGGTGCTGCAGCGGGCTGGCTATGTCACTGCCATGATAGGTAATGTACCCTGTGGGGGTTGCTTCACGATCTCAAGAGTCTCGGAACGCCTGCTGCCTGTTCTGCTCGCTTCTGTGTTTTTTGTTGCTGGGTACGTACTGTGCTGTAGGGATGCCCTCAGCTCACTGTCTGTACCTGGGAAGAGCCTGACAGTAGCTGAGAACTCCCAGAGACCTCTTTCCTGCCACGATAATAAGCTTCGTGGTAAGTGATTTCATCCATTAGGTCAGATGCTCAAAGATACCGTTGGGAGCTTTTCCAGACTCCTCTGCTATCCTGAGCGGGTGGCTTTTGTGCATGTGCCTGTGGCTGCAGGGCCTCCGTTGTAATTAGGTTCAAGGGTCCCAGCTACATGCACCCACCCACTCATACCAAGAAACAGAATCTTTTCTTTAAGATAAGAATCTTTCCTTCCCAAGAACTGGGCTTACATCCTCCCCTCCAGAGTTGGGAAACTGGGGACAGGATTATAGTAATTGACTTGGCCTGGGAATGGTCATCTTGAACAAATCGATGGCTCTGGGCTAGGGGTGAGTCTGTGATGAAGCATCTACCCAGAATGCACAATGTACTGAGTGCTGTCTTTATGACAAGCAGCCCTAACCTTGCCCCACCCTGCCAAACTGCAAAATGTTATTAGAAGCATAAGTGAAGACATGGGTATAGGATAGGAAAACATCAGTCGATTCCCCGCTGTCCAATCGCCTCTTTCCCTCCCCCAGCTTCCTTGTTTCCTTTCTTTCCTCCTCTGACTTGTTCTCTGAAACAGAGTCTCCTGTGTCCCAAGATGGCTTCAAAGTCATTATATAGCTGAAGGTGACAGCGAAGTTCGGATCCTCCTGTCTCCACCTCCTGAGTGCTGGAATTTTAGGCATGCGCCACCTAGTCCCATTTTACACGGTGGGGTGGAATCCATGGCTTCCGGTGTGCTAGGCAAGCACGCTGCCAACTGCATCCCTAGCCCTGTTTGTTTCTGAAACAGGGTCTTACTATGTAGCCCAGGCTGGTCCCAAACATACAGTCTCAGAGTGCTGGAATCCCAGGCTTCCTTTCCTTGTGTATTTATTCCAAGGCACCTCTTACTCATCGTGAACTATGTTCCGGCCCTGGGATGCGTTCATTTACATAGGATTATGGTTCTCCTGTTGTAGAGCAAGAGAACTATGTCTTGAACCTGAAGACACCTGCTTCACATTCCTGCCGGAGACACTGGATCTGACCCCAGATACTGGGGCCTCCCTGCCTGTCTCTCTTGCAGATGGGGAGACCACTCAGCAGTCCTTACAGCCTGCCTAGCCTGTTTGTGCTTGTTGTTTACTTTGGAAGGTCTGGTTCCAGTGGGATTACTGTTACTACCGTAGTGAAACGGGCAAGGGAGGGTGTGCCAGCAGACGTGCGGCAGTGAGGATCCCTGTGGATGAGACTCTGGTCTCTGGAGGCTTCTGTGTTAGCTTGGAGGAGGTTTCTTTGCACAGACCAAGGGCTGGCATCTCTGGTGTTTTCCTTCCCACTCTGAGTTCAAAGGCTTTGCATTCCTTTGTAGGCAACAACTGCAGGATGACACTCAGAAGGGGAAGCCCCAGTCAGTGGAAGAGGAGACCAGTGAGAGTATTTTCTAGTTTCCTGTGTGGCTACTTTTATGCCAACCTGACACGAGCTAAAGTCATCTGAAAGGAGGGAACCTCAATTGAGAAAATACCTCCGTAAAATACAGCCATAGGGCGTTTTCTTAATTAGTGATTGATGGGGGAAGGGTGGGCGGGGCCATCCCTGGGCTGGTGGCCCTGCTCTATAAGAAAGCAGGCTGGGCAAACCTTGAGGAGCAGGGGCCAGTAAGCAGCACTTCCCCTGTATCAGCTTCTGCTCCCAGGTTCCTGCCCTGCTTGAGTTCCTGTCCTGACTCCCTTCAGTGGTGAACAGTGATGTGGAAGCATAGACCAAACAAACTCTTTCCTCCCCAAGTTGCTTTTGGTAACGGGGTTTCATCACAGCCATAGTAACCCTGACTGGGATGCTCTTCCCGGCTCCTACCCTGAGGTGTAATTATGCTGACATCTGTACCAAGAGGGCTCATGAAGCTCCCCCTGGGGGTTGCCTATTAGATAGACCTATTAGATACATCCATTTAATCCCTGGAGCCGGGACAGATTTGGCCTCTGGACTGCCTGATGCGGGAGCCTTTTACAAAGCAGGAGGCTGGGCTCTTCATCTGCTTTGCTATTATGTTTCCTTTCTTCCAAGTAAGCAACTGATCACAGGTGTCTGTATGGCTTCCCCCTTCCCTCACTCCAGACTACACCGTTTGTGAGCCCTGAATAGGATACGAGCCTCTACTTGCTTAGGAATGAAACCCACCAAAGGGCTCTGGGATCCGTTCCCAGGGTTCAACACTGCTTCGGCTCTTCGTCTGTGTTCGTGTGTTTTTACCCCTTCCCTCTCCGTGTTATTTTACATTTTACAATAGTATATGTATTTGTTTTCAGGCAGGCTTGCTGTGTATCCTAGCTTTGAACTCTTATATAACCTAAACTGGCCTTAAACTTCCGAACTTTCTGTCTCAGTGTCTTAGGCACTGTAATAAACGTGCCACCACGCCAGGCTTCTGCCTGCCTCAGCTCGCCTGCCTGCCTGCCTGCCTCCCTCCCTCCCTCTCTCCCTCCCTCCCTTCCTTCCTTCTCCTTCTCTCTTTTTCAGACAGGGTCATACTATGCAGTCCTGACTGGCCTTGAACTCACTGTAGACCAGACTGACCTGATATTCATAAAGATACACCTGTCTTTTGAGTGCTGGCATACTCATCCTTAATTGTTTCTTTAAAAAGCTTGTTTTTCAGCTGGGTTTTGGTTTTAGTGGTGGTGCATGCCTTTAATCCAATAGAGGCAGGCAGATCTCTGTGAGTTAGAGGTCAGCCAGATCTACGGAGCTAGTTTCAGGACAGCCAAGGCTACAAAATGTAACCCTGTCTTGAAAAAACAAAACAAAACTTGTTTTTCAGATCCACAGAATAGAGCTGGGCATGGTGGTATATAGCTTAGTTCTCAGGAGAGAAGAGATTTCCAATCTGAGGCCAGCCTGAGCTACATAGTAAGACCCTGTCTTAAGAAAATAAAACAGTTTGCAGTTGCAAGAAGGGGATAATGGATACGCACAGGTGCCCATCGAGATTCCCTAAGTTCATTTTCGCTCTGCGTATTTTCTTTAAAAGGTAGTTTGGTTGTGTTTTATTAAGGCCACATCAAATGGTTTACAGAGTCACACCCCTGTGTCTGCTTGCTGGCTTCCCTCCTTTATGTTGTCAAAGGTCACCACAGTTTAGATCTTTGGACTGATTATACATCTCTGGCCCGCTTGCCTAGGCAGCGGTTTCCTGGGATCCAGGCCTCAGAGCAAACGAGCAGATCAGAGGTTCTCACATTGTCAGAGCTCTGCCCCGCATTGCCCAATTATCCCTGCGAAGGAGTGAGCCAGTGGAGTGGGACCTGCAGGTGGCTGAGCTTCTCATTTGCTGCCCTGTGGGTGGGTGTCTCAGTGGTAGAGCTACTGGGGGAAGTGGCCTCTCCTCACTGCTGACGACATTATCCAGAGACAAAGATGCTGAGGCCAGGCAGGGTGGGGACCTGCACCCATCTTCATCTTTGCAGGATCCTTCACAGGGCATCACAAGCCATGTGCCCCCCCCCCCCCCCCGCCAAGGAATAGGCTCAGCTGGGCAGCATCACTGGGCTGCTGGGAAGAGAGACCATCCCCAGCTCATCTTTCCCATGTGGTCCTGAGTCATCCAGCCTTTGCTTGTCTCCTGTCTCCCTGGAGGGTCTCTTGAGGTCCCAGAGAGCAAAGCTCAGCAAGCGTACAACACCAGAAAGTTCATTTTTGTCCTCACTGAAGTGTGAAGGTGATGGGAGCCGAGTATGTGATCAGCTTCTTGAAGAGTCTCCTTGTTTCCACAGAGCCCCATCTCAATGTCTCTCTCTTTCTCTTTCCACAGGCAAATGGCATCTTGGGCACCATGGCTCTTATCACCCCAATTTTCGTGGTAAGAATTCTTTTGCAGTTTGTTCCCCGGGAACCACAAAATAAGGTTCCCTGTGTGAAAGAGCTCTGTGAGCATTTGAGGTCATTGTGTCCCCTGGGATACTCTATTTTAGAACATCTTTGCTTCAAATGTCACTTAGGTACATGCAGTGCCCCTATCCTCACATCTCTCTTTCTAGAAGCTTTCCTGGTCCCCTACTTTGTTGTCTGTCTGCCCAAAAGGCTAGTCCACTGTAAACTCACCCATTTCCTTCCATCTTCCAGTTATATGCACCCTAGGGAACATTCCATGAATTCCCGACAGCACAGGTAGAAAGAACATGAACCTGTGTCATGCACCCAGATAGAGGAAGCTGACTCCTGACCTCTTCCTGCAACTGTTTGCATCCTCAAACCTCTCACCCTTGGGGAAGAAAGGTCAGGACCAGGCTGTCAAGGTGGATCCTCTAATTGCTCAGTGACACACTCTCTGAATGTCAGATTTGCCAAAATATGGGTGTTCTTTCCAATTTGTAGTTTGTGACTCTGCCTTTCTCTTTGCTTATGGGAATCCACAGACTGTCCCTTAGAAAGCCATTTACCGTGTCAGCACATGCAGCCCTTGGCCCTACATCTGTCTTGTCTGTCTTCTACCACTTTATACACAAATAGGTGGCCTTTTCCTTTAGTGATAGTCTCAGACTGTTTTTGCAAACTTCTCCGTCACCTTGCCTCAATGTCTGTCCCTAACTGTGCAAAGGGATGCCTTGTGCCTGAAGGATCCTTTTAAAGGATTAGAGAGGGAAGACGATGAAGCCACACCTTTACAAATGGCTGATGGAGGAAAAGACTACCAGGCCTGTTCAGTGACAACTTACTCCAGAAACCCCGTGAGACAGGTTGGATTAGATCCATTGGTGAGGTATTGAGCAGAGAGGCATACTGAGACTGTGCCCTGCTTGGAAGAGGAGCGTCCCTGATGGTTTGTGAGTCTGACCCGGGAGTGGGAAGTGGGAACAAAGAGATCACTGTGTATTTGCTGTCTTTGCACCACCTAGTGCTGAAGGCCTTCTTGCTTGGACACTCTGGGCTTTCTTAGCCGCTACCTTCTGTCTCTTCCTGCTTTTGTACTCTGTCCATGTACACTGTCCTGGTTCCCATGGACTCCCGCCCTCCCTTCCAAACCCATCATGGATTGTGTCAAACATCACACATTCCTTATACGCATCCATACTCCCCCGCTATCTTGGTTAGAGAGCAGGGCTCCAGCAAACACTGAGGCTTCTCACCAACTCGGGGTTGGAGGGCAGTTGATATCTAAACTAGGAGTTGGGATACAGTGTGGGCCAAATCCAGCAAGCTGTTTCTGGAAATACAGTTTCATTGGAAACAGTCATGCTCAACCCTGTGCCTATTGCCCAAGGGTGTTTTGTGCTACAGTGACATCAGAAGCCATCATAGAGACTTCTTTGACAACGAAACCTGAAGTATTTACTCGTCTTGACAACATGACAACAGTTCAGGGCTCTGTCGTTTACCCACGAAGTATTCAAATCTATGTATACAAAGAAGGTTGACATTGAGCTGTCAGGTTTTTCTTTAGTGCTAGTAACATTTACCAGCCATTCTGTATATACTAGTCTATCGCGGTAAATAAGGATCAGGATAAACAAATAGGCCGAATAGATGTTTATTCAGGGAGAAATAACTTACAACCTAGACAGATGAACACCAGGAAATTCAACCCGATCCTCTCCTGTACGAGTCACGCCAGAAAGAGAGCGCCTTTCCTGGCCCCCTCCGACCTCCTTCCACAGGTCACTCCGCCCATGGCTCCACCCCCCAGTGGGCGTGGTCAGTGCCACAGAACTATCTCCCTACACTAGTCTAGTTTATTTTCTGCTGTTATGACAAATACCATGACCAAAAAGGAGCTTTGACCTGTGTTTAGTTAGCTTTCTCATAGAGCCTGGAACTATCTGCCTTGCCTAGGGAGTGGTGCTGCCCATGGTGGGCTGGGTCCTCCTACACCAGTGATCAGAGAAGACAGCCGCTTAGTGACATGCTCACAGCCAATCTGACCTGGGGGATCCCTTAATTGAGAACTCTGCTTTTCAGGTCACTCTAAGCTGTGTCAGGTTGATAGTTAAAGGTACCTGGGTTGTAAATCACCTGCTGGGGGATGAGGGTCTAACGTCCCAATTTAAGGGATGCAGTGCTAAAGGGGAAGATCTTGTCATTCGTGCTGACAGAGAGTCTGAAGGTTGTGATTGGACTATGGAAGAGGAAGGGGCTAGCAGGGAGTGGTGGGGAGTGGGGCATTGTGTGGGACGGCTATGCCGGACCCCCGTCTGTGTGGCTTCACTGGGGAGAGCTACGGAGCAGGCAATTCCAGGCAAAGCCATTGGGGTTCCAGGGCATGAGCCACATGAGGAATGGGATAGGAAATGTGCAGAAAGAGAAGGCAAGAGGCACATGCAGGGGCTGAAGAGGCGACTGGCCCTCCCTACTTGCCAGGCCCAGTTCAGAGCTTGAGCTGTACAGGGGCAGTGTCAGAACAAACTCAATACAGGGGATTTGGGTTACAACATTGACATTCTTCATCCCATTCCACCTCCCAACCTTTAGAGCCCTGGCTTAGACGCTCGTTCTTTAGATGTTGACTCCATGTCTGCCACACCCACTGCATCTGGGAACATCTTCCTCCTCTGACTCTTCTTGTTATGAGCCAAGATCTCAGTACACAGTCCAGGCCAGGCCTCAAGCTCAGGATCCTTCCACCTCATCCTCCGTATGCTGGGGTTATATGCTTACACCATCATGCCTGACTCATCCACTTCTCACAGCTTAACATATCTTCTGTTCTTTGTTATAAATTATTTATTTACTTTAATTTTGTGCACACACACACACACACACACACACACACACACACGCGCGCGCGCGCATGTGGAGGTCAGAGGACAATTGTAACAGGCTTTCTTTTGGGCCACCAACCAGCTCCCAAATCATGACACAGAGACTTCTTATTCCTTATGAGTGCTTGGTCTTGTCTTATGCTTGTCCCATTAGCTCTTGTAATTAAATTGCCCGTTCCTTTTCATCTATATTTTGCTGACGGGCTTTTTACCTTTTATTCATTCTGTATGGTCTGCCCTGTGTCTGTCTGGTAGCCACTTGGCCGACTGGCCCTGGATGTCTATACTCCTGCCCCCTTGTTGTGTCTCCCCCTCTCCTTTTTTCTTCTACTTATTCTCTCTGTCCTCCAGCCCAGCCTGTCCCTCTATTGGCCGTCCAGCTTTTTATTAGACCAATCAGGCAAAGCAACACATCTTTACATCTTTAAACAAATGCAGTATAAACAAATGTGACACATCTTCCCATTGTTAAACAAATATTCCACAGCAGACAACTCTTGGGACTTAGGGCTCCCCTTCTAACATATAGTTCCTGTGATTGAACTCACATCTTTAGGCTTGTCGGCAAGCACCTTTACTACTGAGCCGTCCCGTGGCCCCGCACAGAAAGCTTCCCAAGGGCAGCTTTGCTCCAGTAAGCTATCATGTATGCAGTGGCTCTCTCTCTTTTTAAACCAAGTACTTAGCACTCGTGTTCATAACTGTGCAGGATGTTAGATGGCTAGCAACTCTTGATACTTCCAATCCCTTCACAAGGCATTTCACAAAGCTAGTCTTACAGCCAGAACCCAGCGAAGTGATTTTCTTTGCTTACTTCAAAGGGATATTAATCAAATCCTCTTTTAATTACATACGCTAGAGCACCACAATATTAAGTCACAGGAAATTAAATTTCGTTGTGCATGTAAGAGGGCAGGCGTGCTGAGAAGCAGCAAGTAGGGGTACTAAGCCATTACGCTCTTCCAGGTTTTGATTACTACTTTGGAATCCCGTACAGCCATGACATGGGCTGCACTGACACACCCGGCTACAACTACCCTCCTTGTCCAGCGTGTCCCCAGAGCGATGGCCTATGGAGGTAAGACTGTTTGATGCATTGACTGTGGGCTTTAAGTCAAAGCGGAGACCGGAGTTCTAGAATAAGTGAACAAGATAAGCAGGGACAGTTGAGGCAGCACACGAGATAAACGACACATCCAGGGCAAAGTATTTTGTTTGTTTTTTGTCCCCGGTGCAAAGATGGAAAAACTACAATTATTTTTATGTTGGAATTTTCCAGAATCTCTGAATTGTTTAGCTCACCTGGGGAGAGCCTGGTGCCTGCCAAGATCTCACACTCTCCCTCCTTTTCCTGCTGGCTCTGCTCCTAGACTACATGCTACTTCCCTGGCCCAGACGTAGGGCATGGGGGATGGAAGGGGGGGGGCGAGACTAACACAGAACACACAGAGACAGAAAGAGAGAAAAAGATACAGAGACAGGGAGATGGGGAGACATAGGCAGAGAGAGACAGGCAGAAGAGAGAGAGAGATTCACAGAGATGGGGAGACAGAGACAGGCAGACCAAGAAAGAGAGAGACACATATAGAGAGGGAGAGAGTCGCTAAGCCTTACTGAGGTAAAGAATTAGCTCGGTCCCCATGTTTCTCCCTCTAAGAGCCTGTGCTGGAGTTATTCCCAAGGCCACAGGTGTCTGAGCTGCTTGGGGAACGTCTCAGCTGACTCATTAAATAACATAATAATATAATAATATATTTATTGAGACGTTGTTACATCCTGTGCACTCCCCGCCCATACCCATAGCTCACAGGGCCAATCTGCCTTGCCTAGGTCATATCAGAGATGGCAGGAGATAAGAATCCAGATTCTAGTCTGAGTCTCCAAGTCCAGGGCCTGTGTCCTCTGGGTTCGCTTCTTAGCATGTGGCTGTTGGACCAATGTTGTGGATGTTGTCACCTGGGTACAGGAGAGGCACGAAGCAACAGACTTCCCAGGTGACAATGTGAACGGCTGTGATGTGTCAAGCTGCCCTTCTCACACAGTTGTGTGGCCTACGGGGGTGGGGGTCACATCTGCAACCCCATGTGGCCTTATAATGGCATGAGAGATCTCAATCAATGTCTCCCTTTCTCCCCCCTTGCTCTCTTTCTCATCTCTGTTATAACAAAACAGAATTGAAAGTATTGGCTTGTTGGATTGGATTCGAAATGGTAGTGGAATTCGATCCAGGCAGTAAAACCCCAACAAAAATACAGAGTAATCAAGCCAACATCGTAACGACTTCTTATTTTTATTTTGTAAAGATGTATTTTTATGTGTATGTGTGTAGGTTTGAGCATGTGTGTGCGGGTGCTCAAAGACGCCAGAATAGGGAGTCAGATCCCTGGAGCTGGAATTACAGGTGGTTGGGAGTCACCTCATGTGGGTGCTGGGAACTGAACTTGGGTCCTCTGGAGGAACAGTAAGTAAGTGTTCCTACCTGCTGAGCCATCTTTTTTAGCTTCGGAGTTTTCCTAAAAAGAAACAGATTTACCCTAAAAAGAAACAGAAGAGGAATTGTCTTTGGCAGGGCATGTGTGACACTGTCCGATCCTTGTCCTTTCACCCACTTCTTGGTAATGACCAGGGCAGAGAGCCGCTGTTTGTCTTCCAGGCATCCCTTGTAAGGGTCACAGGTGACTCCATTCCAGACAAGTGTAAACCTCCAGGAGTGCAGATAACTCACTCAAGATGGTGGCTGGAGAGGAGGTGTGCAGCCCCGATGCAGTAGCCTGTCAGATTCCCCTCAGCCTTAGGACCTACAGTGGGATGTGTTTTCTCCAAGAATTGGTAGCCTTCTCATCTCCATTTTTTTACTCAGTGTTACAGTTTCTCCAAACTTTCCAAAGATGGTTCAAAATTAAAACCACCCTAGGCCATCTTGTATATTCTGCCCTATTAACAGATTTTTACCCCACACATGCAATCCTGGCCATGGACTTAGGACAGTCCCCAGAGTCTTCAGTGTTGCCCACCATGCACATTGGTGCATGGAGGCTGGACAGTGGAGAAGGTTAGCAGCAGGAGGGCTGTGGGACTAGCCTGTTCAGACCTCAGTGTGCCTCTCTGCAAAATGGGAACTGTAGTGTCCCAGGCTTATGAGGATCTCATCACGTTTTACAGGGTGGCTGGCTCATCCAAGAAACACAACCATCTACTCTAACAGAAGGGGAAGCCATGACTGATCCGCTAAATCCCTCGGGACCAGCCCACGTGGCGCTGCCCTAACTAAAGCTTTCTGTGATTGTTTAGGATGTGAAAATGAATACTCCCCTCTGTGTTCCCATGCAGGAGCCCCGAGAGGGACTGTTACACAGATGTGGCCCTTCCTCTCTATGAAAACCTGAACATCGTGGAGCAGCCTGTGAACCTGAGTGGCCTTGCACAGAAGTATGCAGAAAAGGCAGTGGCGTTCATTGAGCAGGCAAGGTAAGGACAAGTTCCCTGCTCTTGTCCCCTCTTCCACACACACCAAGTCCTCCCATCCCAGGGCTGAGGCTGAGTTTCATGCTTTAGCAAGCACACCTGCGTATCTCCCATATGCCAGTAACATGAATGTGCCTACTGGACTCTCGGGCCCTGGGTTAGAAGTTCCTCGGGTATGTTCTCAGCCTTCCTGTGGCCCTCTGACTGTCCTGCCTTGATAAACACCATGGCTGTGGCCATTTTTTCTTCTCCTATTAGAGTGCAAGTTCCTTGAGGGTAGGGCCTGCCCACCACATTCAGGGTACTTACCCAGGGTATTTGTTGAATCCATTTGTTAGCAGGCAGTATGAGTTCTTTACTGCTGCTATAATAAATGATCACCAAAGTGGTGGCTAAAACCAATAGCAACCATAGTAAGTTCTCCTCAGATCTGGATGCTAGATATCTGAAGCCAGTCTTAGAAAGTTAATACCAAAGTGTGAACAGGGCTCATTGTTTTGTTTGTTTGTTTTTTGAGACAAGGTTTTGTTACAATCAGCTTTTCCCACCAGCTTGGTCCCAGAGCCGCATCAGCCCCAAATAACACACAGATGCTGTATTAGATATAAAGTTGTTGGCCTGTTACTAGCGTTTCTTATTGGCTAGCTCCGTCTTAAATATTAACCCATTTCTACTAACCTAAGTGTTTTTAAGTGGTCTTATCTTACCAGAGAGAGGGTCTTGACCTTTTCTCTCAAGTCTCTACATCTTGAGTCTCCCTACTACATCTCCCAGAATCCTCCTTGTCTCCTAGTCTCACCTATCTTGCCTTCCTATTTGTCAACAGTGTTTTATTCATTAACCAATAAGAGAAACATATTTATAGAATGACATCTCCCATCATGGTTTCTCTGTGTAGCCCAACTCCTTCTATAAACCAGGCTTGGACTCAGAGATCTGCCTGCCTCTGCCTCTTGAGTGCTGGGATTAAAGGCGTGAGCCACCATTGCCTGGCTTTCTTTCAGCTTCTAATGACCTCTGGCTTTCCTGGGTTTATGGCCACAGCATTCTAATCTCCACTTCTGTTGATCCCTTGTTATTTCTACATGTAACCTGTAGCCAAACATTCCTACCCTTCCTGTTTTAGACAGAGTCTCAGGTAGCCCAAGCTGACCTCTAACTTGCTATGCAATTGAGGATGTCCTTGAATTTTTGATCTCCCCAATGCTGAAATGTGTCACCATACTTCTTTTAAGGACACTAGTCAATCAGGAACCAGATATGGTGTCTTAGTTCAGCACTCAGGAACTCCAGAGGCAGAATTCATGGCTAACAAACAAACAAACAAACAAAGTCAACCATCAGGATGATCTCATTTCAAGATCTTTAATATACTTATACCTGTGAAGTACCCTTTTTTTGTGGAAGGAAACTTCTCCAGTTCCAGGGACTGGACTTCAGGTATGTTTGGGGGTTGTTATCCAGTCTCACACACAGGATTCAAAAAATGCACATCTACAGGGCCGACAAAGCAGGTCTGAACAGGTGGCTGAGTGTCCTTCCAGAGTTTCCAGGTTCAATTCCCAGCACCCACATGGCATCTAACAACCACCTGTAACTCCAGTTCCAGATCTTATTCTTCTGGCCTCCAAGGGCACCACATGTACGTGGTGCAGAGACATTGCAGGCAAAATGCCCATACACATCATACAGAATTTAAAGAAAAAAAAATCTTTAAAAAAGAAGAAAGCTGGCCAAGCATGGGGCTAACATACCCCATCTATTATAGACAGTAGCTACTTAGCTCCAGCTATTGATGGTGGATGAGTCTGGAATGCGAGCCCCAGGTATCACATCTTTCCAGTTTCTGGAAGAGACAGGAAACAGTCTTTAAGTGTTAAAAGCTACTATTGAAAGCATCCACAGAGGGTTAGGGATGGCTCAGTGGATAATGGCACACTTGCTGCTAAGCCTGACAGTATGAGCTGAATCCCTGGAACTTGGTGGGTGGAAGGAGAAAACCGACTCCCAAACGTTGTCCTCTGACCCGCACACACCATGGCACTTCTGAACAAACTAAATTGGTGTTCAGAGAAGCAAAGAGTGACAGTGACAACGAAATCCACCCGGCCGAGTGTGAGGGTTGCCATCGTTCATCCTTGTCCTGTCACCACAAAGGATGGCTGGAAGTGTGATTGATTGGTTTTATCTTTCTCCCAAGGTCCTAAATCATCCAAGGACAATGGGATGCTTCCCTTAGGCCCACAGCTGTAACTGAAGTGAGCAAGAAGATAAAAATGTGTTGTGTGGCTGCCTGCTCATGCAGAATTCAAATGGCTTCATCTGTGCATGGCTGAGCAAACCAACTCCTGACTGTGCAGGCTCCTACAGCCCTTGCTCAGCCATGTTGAGCTTTTCTAGAGACACTGTCAAGGAGGGCAGAAGCAACAGTGAGGTAGACTCAGTCGTCTGTGCGGGCTCTTCATAACGCAAGCCGTTACTTCAGGCCCAGATTTCAGAGCCCTATCCCAGGACCTTTGGGGTTCCATCTGAGTGGCTCCCCAGACGTTTCTGAGAAACACTGTCAGTGTGTTTCTTAGACTGCTGGTACAGATGGAGCTTTTCTGATCTGGAAGGTTGAGCATCTCCCAGCTGCTGTGAAACAGCTCTAGTTCCCTCTGCCCTGTGACAGGCAGATGCTTCATGATCAGTGAGGGCAGCTTCCTGTTGTTTTACAGCCTCAGCCTTCTGACTAGAGGGGTGGCAGCTGGCTGGGGCTGGGGCTGGGATCTGTGAAATGCTTGCTCTGCAGGGGTGGTGGAGTCTGGCACCCATCAGTTAAGGGACTCATTAAGAGACAAATCAACTGATGTTCTCTCTATGTCAAACAAAGAAAATGAGAGTTGACCAGTTTTTTAAAGTGAAAGGTAATGAGGCCAATGGCTTTTTAACTTCACAGAAGGTAATCATAGGGCATGCAGGTTTCTGTAAGATTTGACCTACCGGTTCATCCATGACTTTCTCAGTGTAATAGAAAAGTCCCCTGGACCTGTTCACATCTGTGCTGGGTAGGTTTCTCTTTTGTTTTGTTTTTAATTAATTTTTTTGAGACAGGGTTTCTCTGTGGCTTTGGAGCTTGTCCTGGAACTAGCTCTTGTAGACAAGGTTGGTCTTGAACTCACAGAGATCTGCTAGTTTTATATCAACTTGACACAAGCTAAAGTCATTTGAGAGGAGGGAATGTCAATTAAGAAAATTCCTCCATAAGATAAGGCTATAGACAAGCCTTGAGGGCATTTTCTTAATTAATGATTGATGGAGGAGGGTCCAGCCCATGTGTGCGGTGCCATCCCTGGGATGTTGGCCGTGAGTTCTATAAGAAAGCAGGCTGAGCAAGCCAAGGGGAGCAAGCCAGTAGGCAGTACCCCTCCATAGCCTCTGCATCAGCTCCTGCTCCAGGTTCCTGCCCTGCTTGAGTTCCTGTCCTGACTTCCTCCAGTGATGAACAGTGATGTGGAAATGTGAGCCAAATAAACTCTTCCCTCCCCAACTTGTGTTTGGTCATGGTGTTTCTTCGCACCATCGTAACTAAGATTAACACCTGCTTGGGAATAGGGCACAGGGGGCTTAGAAAGTAAGGGTCAGTAGGGCATAAGAATAGATGTTGACTTGGTATGTTTGAAGCCAGAGTCTTCTGGGAAATCTGGTATGTGGTCAGTGTTTAGGATGTTGTGGACTGTATGTATATCTATGTTCCCTACAATTTGAGTGTTGAAACCCTAACCCTCAGTCACACAAGACATGTCTGACTTTTTGACACAGTTGTCATTTAAAAAGCTTGCATTTGCAAACTGCTCAAGCGAGTTAACAAAGACAGTTACATATGCACACACACAAAATCTTATATTTTAAGTAAATTTATGTTTGGCAGCATTCATAGTTACCCCAGGACATGTAGCCTAAGGGTGTGTGGGGGGGGTTGGACACACCTTCACCTGGTGGGATATCGTTAGCAGGTGGGGAAGCTTTGCAGGGTTTTTCCGTCTAGACAGGGTCGGGAGGACAGGGTGCTTGGATTGTGGTGTTTTTGTTCGAGCAGTCGAGTTAAGACACGTGTATCATTCAGGACAGGGTCCTAATGACAGAGATGAAAACGGAACCTTTGAGAGCCGGTGCCTAGACTCCGCAGAGTCCTTTCCTTTACTTGATTTGCCATCGCAGAAGGTGGTTCTCTAAGCAAAATAGCTGCTATCTCCACCTGATCAGCTGTGTCTACTTGCAAGAGGCCACCAGGAATGACCTCATTGTTGACATCCTCCTACAGAAGGAGGGGTGAGGAGGTCACCTGAGATTCCAGCAGCCTTTTCCAGCTATTTGTCCCATTTACATATGTCCTCGACACCTTGGAAGGCACCAGGATGTAGGGTTGGGGAGGTAAACTGAGATGGGTACAATCTATGATGATTTGGGGAAGCCATCTCCATGCTAGGTGAAAACTTTGCAATTCAGTTGCGTTGGGGTTCACCCCCCACTCCTCTAGGCAACTCCTCATTCATGTTCTGTAAGCCCAATAAGCTTGTAGGTTCTCCAGGGTGAACTTTGGTGAAATCAGATTTTAGTTTGTAGTTGTGACCTTATACAGAGGGAGCAGACATTGTTTATATCTCCACAAGGAAGGAATTTTTGAAAAGCGTACCCCCTTCCTTACCTTCATTACCCTCTCCGGTTCCCTATTCATTTGTGCCATGGTGATATGTTCCCTCCCCATCTTCCTTCCCACCCTAGATGGTACCCAGTACCAATGGACGGTTCCAGATTCATTCCGAAGACCCATTTTCACCCATCTCTCTTCTTTTTCCTGTTGGAATACTGGGGTGAATAATGCATCATTAAGTAAATTAACTAATACCTGTTAGCAGTCATAGCTAACTTCCCCAGAAATGCCCCTGCACAGCATACCTGTAACTGCTTGTTCCTAAGGTTCGTAAGGTGCCATATGACCCTCTTCATCTTCATCTGTGATCTGTCTGTCTATCCACCATTTATCTGTCTTATATCATATGGTAGCCTTGAACTCAGTATGTAGTCAAGCATGCTTTTGCAGTTCTGGTCTTAGTGCAGGATTACAGGTGTGCATCCTTGGTAGATTTAGATCAGGGGAGGTGGTGAGTCGAGATTCCTGAGGAATAGGGAATCTGTGTGAAGTGCTATTAGTGCCATGGATGAGAGAATGCCCATTGTGGGTGCTAGGGACTAAACCTGGGTCCATCTGCAGGACAGTTATCCATTCTTACTGACTGAGCCATCTCTCCAGCCCCACCCCAAGAAATTTTTTTACAAGACCCCAAGTATATAGGTATATAAAATAGATACATAAACCAAACATTTTCTGATAATATATCACAAGAAGAATATTTTTAAACAATTCTGTAGCACACATGTAATTTTACCATTCACTAAAGATGAAATGTGTTTGTCTGTTTTTACATGAAGAGTTAAATCCTCTAGGGCAGAGAGCCTCGTCAGAGTTCATTGATGTTACAGTTTTATAATCAAATTGGAAATACCACTTCACACAAATATGTAATACAAAATGGCAGAAGTGTGTTTAATACTGCTTTAGAAACAATTGGGAAATCTGTCCTGATGGTAAGCCAAAATTCGTGGAGTGATTAAAAAAAAAAAAAAACTCAAGTTAGCAACTCAAACAGCTTTTTAAAAAAATTTATTTTTATTGGGTATATGAGTGTTTGCCTACATAAATGTATATACACCATGCATGTGCTGTGCCTGAGGAGGCAGGGCGTCAGGGTTGGATGGGATGGGATAGTTGTATTGGAGGTTAAACTTTAGGCCTTGTATAGCAGGCAGGCATACTACCCCTACGTATATCCTCAGGCCATCTTTTTTTTTTTTTTTTCCTTTTCATTTTGAGACAAGGGCCCTGAACTTGTATCTTCCTAACTCAATTTTCTAAGTACCTAGACCTGTCCCATGAGACCATGGGGCCTTTGCTAGGAGGCCATCCAAGTTTCTTCAAGCCTTTCGTCACAAATTTTCCAGCTTTAGTATAGAGCACAGCCTTGATCTGAATGTCCCCTGTGGTCACATATATCTTAGGGATTTCTTATAGCTATATTTTCTAGAACAGTAGTTCTCAACCTGTAGGTTGCAACCCCGTAGGGGCCAAACAACCCTTTGACAGGGGGTACATATAAAATATCCTGCATAATCTGATATTTACATTACAGTTTATAACAATAACCCAATTATACTTATGAAATAGCAACGAAATAAACGTGTGGTTGGGGATCACCACAACATGAGGGATTGTATTGAAGGGTCACAGCATTAGGAAAGTTGAGAACCCCTAGAGTTAACCGTGGTCTGGATGCTTGGACTTTGAAGTACAGCAAAGAGCACAGGTTTGCTCTGGGCAGACAAGTTGAGATCCAGACTGTCTATTAGTAGTTGTATAACTTGAAGGAAGGTCCTTAGATCCCTCTAAGTTTCCAAATCATTTCCTGAAGAGGAAAATGGGAGTTTACCTTGAGTGGGACTCAGACAACAGTCTTGTGTAATAGCTCTTACTGTCACAGAATATGAGCCAGCGTTACGGTGCTGTACCGTTCTAATTGGCTAGTCAGATGACTTCCCCATTTCTTTAGAAGATTCTAGACAAATACATTATCCTTGAGCCTTCAGAGCAAATCCTGTGGTGGGGGTGTTAGTGGATTTTCTCTGAGATCAGGAAGGACTGTTGAGACTCTAGACAAGACCAGCTTCCTGCAGAGGCGCTGAGTTTTCCCGTTTCTTCCAGCACCAGTGGAAGACCTTTCCTGCTCTATGTGGGCCTGGCCCACATGCATGTGCCCTTGTCTGTGACAACACCATTGGAAAACCCACGGAGCCAAAGGCTGTACCATGCAAGTCTCCGAGAGATGGACATTCTGGTAGGACAAATCAAGGACAAAGTTGACCACATGGCAAAAGAAAACACGCTCCTCTGGTTTACAGGTAAAGTAGAGATGTCCACCTGAACTGGCTGGGATTTAGTAGATAACTTCGCAGGATCCACAGAGAGCAGAGTCCAGTCATGTGACATCTTTAACAGGGGAGAGGCTCACTGTGAACAAGGACGTGATGATTGCCTGAGGGCTTAGCCTGCTGTCTGTTGAGTTCTTCATGATTGAGTCATAGAGAAAGATTTGTACTGACAGAGCATGCACTTTGCTGATCCTATAGATGTTGACTAGGGCCTGTTGGCTTATTTAATCTTACCTGTTAAAGAGTCCTTTATCATCTCCTCCCCGGTCCCAATGATTGTGGTCTATTGGTCATATCTTTAGTCAGGTGGCTCCAGAACTAAATTAATGATCCCTTAAAGGGCTCACATATAGCCAGGTATAGAACTTCATAGAATTCTAGCACTTTGGGCTGGAGAGATGGCTCAGAGATTGAAATAACTGACTTCTTTTCCAGAGGATCTGAGTTTAATTTCCAATACTCACATGGCAGCTCACAACTGTCTATTACTCTAGTTCCAGGGGGTCTAACACCCTCACACAGAATATATACAGGCAAAATACTAGTGTGCATTAAATAAATAAATATTTAAAACAACAGAAGAATTGTAACACTTCAGGGTCTAAGGCAAGAAGATGTCCAGTTCAAGGCCAGGGTAGACTGTAGAGTGAATTTGAGTATAGTCTGAGTTATCTACAAGACTGTATCTCAGAAAAACCCAAAGTTGTATGTGTATGAGGGGTTGTAACACAGATGTTTTATGTCTCAGGTCTTTATGTAGAAGAGTGGCATTTGCTTTGGATCAAGTTGAGACCTGGTTTTTAATATATGCTAATGGGAGAGTTAAATCTACTCCACTGTATATTGTAAGGTTAAAAGATGGTGCATGTGGAGACCTTGGTACATCAAGGATGCTTAGTGATGTGTGTATGTGGAGTTCTAGGTGCATCAAGGATGCTTAGTGATGTAAGTGGAGTTCTAGGTGCATCCAGGATGCTTAGTGATGTGTGTATGTGGAGTTCTGGGTACATCAAGGATTCTTAGTGATGTATGTGGAATTCTAGGTGCATCCAGGATGCTTAGTGATGTGTGTATGTGGAGTTCTGGGTGCATCAAGGATGCTTAGTGATGTATGTGGAGATCTAGGTGCATCCAGGATGCTTAGTGATGTGTGTATGTGGAGTTCTAGGTGCATCAAGGATGCTTAGTGATGTAAGTGGAGTTCTAGGTGCATCAAGGATGCTTAGTGATGTGTGTATGTGGAGTTCTGGGTGCATCAAGGATGCTTAGTGAACAGTGGCTGGGCTGACACTAATGACAGCAGTCATGGATTGCTGACACCACCTAAGTGGGGTGTGAGAGCAGAAGTTAAGGATGGAGCTCACTGGGTCAGAGCAGGCCCCTCTCTCTTAGACCTAGTAGAGACAGGATCACTGAGACAGAGTTTTAGCTAAGTGGTGATATGCAAGCCCAGCACGGAGGGGGTGGTCTATGGCTACCAGAGTAGCCATGCACTGACATCCATGCCTGCGAAGAACATTTCAATCAAATGTAGGCATCATGTTTGTCTTTCTGTCTGATCCCTGCTGTGCACAAGGTTATGACTAGAGGGGGTCAGAAAGTGTCCCCCAGAGGCCCACTGACCATCTCCTGTTTCTTTTTCTGCTTTCTAGGAGACAATGGCCCATGGGCTCAGAAGTGTGATCTGGCAGGCAGCGTGGGTCCCTTCTTGGGATTGTGGCAAACCCATCAAGGTATTAGAAAGATCATCCTGTGGGATCAGATCCCACGTGGGAAGCCAAGTGCTGGCTGGGTGTGGGGTTTTGTCTTGAGGCCAGCTGTCTCATGTCCTGACCTTCACGACACTGTTATGAAGCAGGGACGTAGCGGCTCCGCAGCCCCTCTGTGTTCATTATGGACCATCTCTTTTAGTCCTTTCTCTTCTTCCCTAGAAGGACCAGCTTTTGTCCTGACAAACCAGTCCATAAACTGTCCAGCCAATATGCTTTGCCTACGTTCATGCCACTGCCTGTGTTTTCTTCCTCTGTCCATTTCCTTCTCTTCTCCACACCCCCCTTCCATTCAGCCATTAATTAGTTCACATCATCCACTCAAGAAAAATTTAGTGCACAACTCTGTAAGGTTCGGGTTTGTTGTTGCTGTTGTTTTGTTTGACAGGGTCTCACCATGTAGCCCTGGCTGGACTAGAACTCACTATGTTTATCTGGCTGCCCTTAAATTCACAGAGATCCTTCTGTCTCTGCTTCTGGGGTACTGGGGTTAAAGGTGTTTGCCACCATGTCTGGCCCTCTGCAAGGCTATTTATTATGTATGTCATCTCTAAGCCTTGTAGCAGTAAAAGCTAACTAGAAATGGCTTCATTTATAGTGAAGATAGAACCTCAAAGGAGTTGAGTCGCCTGCCCAAGGTCACAGAATTGGTGAGAAGATGGCAGGCTCACTCAACACTGCAGTCAAAGTTGGTGCTTTCCCTGCTTGCCCAAAAGCCCCCCTGCTTGCCCAACAGCCTCCTATGACCATTTCTGGCTCTGTGTAAATGTACTTGAGCCTGGAGCTCAGTTCCCATCTGTTCTGGAAAAGGTCTCAATGCAGAAGAACCTGACCTTTTGAGGAGCAGCCACACTGGGAACAGGTGTGTGGGGCAAAGGTTTGAAAAGTTCCATGTGCCTTTTGATGCAGACTCCTCCTGAAAGCATTTGTTGCAGGGAGCTAATTAGCCAAGGGCACAGTGCGTATGCATGACGCTTATTGCAGTAGGTCACAGACCTGGCTGGATATAGTTCAAATACTCACTGAGGAGCAGGTTTGAAGGAGTTATCCATTTAGAGGGACACCAAAGAATCAGTAAACGCATGGCCGTTTGTTGACTTGAAATATTTACATGAGTTATTTTTCTGTGAATGAAACAAGCTATAAAGTAATATGCAAAGTCTATGCATGTAATTTATGTGACTATGTGTTTTTCAAAGTATAACTTTATTATATAAATATATAATAAGCTTATGTCTTAGAAAAATCTTGAGTGAGGTAGCAAAACTACAGAAGATTAGCATTGATGACTCTGGGTTTAAGAGGGAGTTCAAGGCCAGCCTGGTTTACAGAGCTAATTCCAGGATACCTGTCTCAAAAACCAAAATAACAAAATGGGGGGGGGGATATACATGTGATTCCCAATCTATCCCAAGCCCATGGCACATTGTTGTTTCATAAAAATGTAAAAGAGAGGTTGGAGGTATAGCTCAGTGGTAGAGTGATTGCTCAGCATATGTGAGTTTGACAGCACACACACGCACACACACACACATTAAACCTGTAGAAAGTGGAATGGGGATTTAGCTTAGTTTGTAGAGTGCTTACCTAGGATGTAGCTTAGTCAGTTGGTTGCTTGCCTAGCATGAAGCTCAGTCCTTTGCTCCATCCCCAGCGTCACGTGAATCATGTGGTGATGCATGCCTGTAATCTCAGCACTCAGAAGCAGAGGCAGGAGGATCAGAAGTTCATGGTTACCCGTGGCTATATAGTAAGTTCTAGGCCGGCTGAGAGATGTGAGACGCTGTATCAGCATTAAAGCCCAGTCCTGCCCTTCCTCCCTCATCTGAGCACTTGTCGAGCACCTGCTGTTTCTTGTTCTTTCTATTTGCTGAACATCTACTGTATGCCACGAACAGTACATTTTTTCCAGGGATACAAAGACAAACAAGACCTCTGACCAGAAGGAATCATGGTCTATAGTACCACTTCTCAGGCTGTTGTGTAGACACAACAAGATCCTACTTGGATCTTTCTAAAATGAAGTTTCCACCCAAGAGGTCATCAGTAAGTGGTGGTTTTGCATTCCTGTGCTAGCTACCCCAGGACAATGCCGATACCACCAGTCACTGTGAGAACCACCAGCCTAGAACGTTGTTGTCTATGAAACCCGAATCTGTTGCTTCTGTTTCTGGACCTGTGGTGCAGGGTTAGGTGTGGTGGTGAAATGCTTGTAATTTCAATACTCAGGAGACTGAGGTAGAAGGATTGCCACCAGTGGAGACCAACCTGGGCTCCATAGTGAGTTCAAAGTCTGCCTAGGCTATGTAAAAGGGACTGTCTCAAAAAAGCCAAAACAAATAACAACAATAACAGTAATCACAACATCAAAAAAAAAAAAAAAAAAAATACTTGATTCCTCAGATTCTTAGCTGTGTGGCTTCCTCACTGGAAAATGGATCCTAATGGCAATGCTTGTGTGTGTATATGTGGTGTTTGTGCATGTGTGTGTTTGTATTTGTGTTTGTGCATGTATGTGTGTATGTGCATGTGTGTGTATGTATGTGTGTGTGTGTGTTTGCTATGAAGCCCCAGCTGATCTTTAAACTCCTTCTGCATTAGCACTATGAATGCTCAGATCACAGGCAGATGCTACGCTATCCAGCAAGCCAAGTATTGTTCACAAGGGAAGCAGAATTAGTATCTTCACCATTCAAAGAATGCCAGAGTTGGGAGAGAACATGAAGTCTGTATTCCTACTCACTTCCTGGTAGGACATGGAGGCTGAGGAGGATGGAGACTTTGCCCCAGCCCAGCTGGTCATGGAAGAAGGTCAAATGATCTGGGTTCCTACCACAGCTCATGTGACTGTGGTTGCCCCCACCTTTTAAAACCTGGTCATTGCTTAGCTGTCTGGAAAGTCCTGTGTTGTTTCTTTGAACTCTGTGGTTGTCAAGGTAAACATCGTTAGTCCCCGTGACCATCAGAACCGTTCTAAATCAGTGGGAGGAGGGATGGGAAGATGAAGAGGCCTATGGGCTTGGAAGCTTCCTTTGGGCTTGAATCTCAATTGAACTGTGTAACAGGGACTGGAAACTCAGTTCTTCTGTGTTGGAAGGTGATAGGCCCCTCTTCGTTACACAATGAGTAGGGTCACATGGAGGCATCTGACAGGCACCCAGCCTGGTGCATGTGACTTTTACCACTAACCCCCACGAGACTCAGTTTCTCTATCATAGCAGAAACAACCTGCACATCCTTCTCCGAAAGGAGAACTAGATTTAGGCTGGAACAAGCCCTGGGAAGGACTTTTTTTTTTTTTACAAAAGTGCCAGACAGACAACCCATGGCTGACCTCAGAGTATCCTGAGCCTTTGTCGTGGGAAACTGCTCAGAGCTGGGGCCAGCTACCTTCTTGTTACACTGCTTTGGGCGAGGCTTTCTAATAAATTTCGTGACTTGCTGTGGTATCTGCCGGCACAGGACTTGAACTGGTGATGGGGTGGGGTCTGGGTACCACTGTCTTGTTTTCAAGGGTTTCAAAGTAAACTTTGCCTGAAAACTATGTAAAAGTAACCCCCCCCCCACTCTAGTCAGCTTTCTGACGATTCCACTGCCTCCTCTTCCTCACCGCCTGGAACGCTGCAGGGGACTGGCTCTAGGTAGCCAGGTTGAAGCCTTCCTGCAGCTGGAAGGGAGCTAGGTCTGTGAGTGAGGAGGGCTGGGTCCCTCTGGACCACCTGTCCCTCCTAACCTAGGTTTCTGTCTTAGGCAGTCCACACCCCCCACCCTCTGTAAGACCAGTCCCAAGAGCCCACAAAAGAGAGGAGACAATGTTTTTGCAACAGAGTAGGACAAACAGTACTGGGAGCCCTACTGCTTTCTCCCCAAGCCAGCTACGCCAAACCACGTGTTATCTTCCCCTGTTCCCAGGGCCCCCCTCCTCATCTTCCCTTTCCTTTCTTGGCTAGTCCATCCAGCTCAGCTGATGGGATGAGGCAGCGTCTCCTTGAGTCACCCTTTCACCCTGTGCTAGAGTGAGGATGCTCTACTTGGCATGGTTCCTGCCATCTTGGGATGAGGAGAATCCCTTGGGATGCATGTGTGTGTAGGTGCAATGCAAATCAGGCTTACCTTCTCCTAAAGAAAGTGAACCCTGACTGCAAGTCCCCCCTATCCCCCATACTCCAGTCACTTAGCCTATCACATCTCTTTCCCACTCTGGACCTGGCTCACACCAGGGTCAGACTCTACACCTTACCTCCCCACCCCATCCAACTGCTCCTCTGTCTGGAAAAATCTTCCCTTGTTTTATTAGAAGAGCAGAAGTGTTCCTTCCCCTCTCTCTCCCTTGGTGATGAGAAAACATTCTGCTAACTTGGCATCATCTGCACTTCCAAGAAACCTTGCTTGTCTGTAATCTGACCTTATCAGACCTTCCCACTGGGACGCAGATCTCTTGGCATCCTGGGCCTCCGCTCCAGTTGTGGGACTAAAAGGTCAGAGATGCTGTGTGCAATTTGATAGAGTCGGGACAAGGAATGTTAGCTGCAGGGTCTGGCTAGGATATGGCTAATGGTAAGAACTCTGTGGAAGCCAAAGTCTGTCTTTTTCCAGCTTTTGGATACTGACTTCATGGCCCATTCCTGTCATCACACTTCAAGCCACCCCAGCCCGGCCACAGTTCTGGGTCCCACTGAAGCCTAGCTTCTCTGTGCTTTTAGGAAACTAGTATTCTATGGGCATCCTTGGCAAAGATATGTATTTATATCTAGGAAGGAAGCTTGCTTTTCTGGAAGGTTATATAGGATGTCCTTCAGAGGGCTTTTCCAGGAATTGAACATGGAAATGCCAGTGTAGGACAAGCAATCCAAATAAAGGAATACACGTTAACATCTGTCAGCTGCAGGCAGAGATCTGGCAAACTGGCCTCATCTATGCTGCTCAAATGTATTTAAGGAGGAGAATGTCAGATATCCCAGAGG